ACTACATTCCCGATCCTGCGGACAGAATGGAAAGCAGTCGACGTCGCCCAAAACACGTCATCTCGGATCCTCCCGATCCACTAACGGTGCTTTTAGGTACTTCAAGCACCGGTCACCGTTCTCGTCGAACCCGTCGCTTGCGACGAAGGGCTCGACGAGTAAATTAACTCTCAGACTGAGTTTCTCGCCGGATCTTCTCAGTGGGTCGCGTTTCCGATCCGGTGGTAGATTCTGCGAAGCACGACTCTTGCTAGGGTTCGTGTTAGCAACATCGTCAGGTTTGAGCCCCGTGAGCTCACCTACTAAAGTTAGGGTTACGCTGACATAGCCTCTAGGGCTATCAGCTTAGGTAGGAAATAAAAAAAAAAAAAATAATTTGAGATTTGATAGCGATACGCCTGATATAATATCGTGTACGACTAGTCACGATTTAAGTCCACGCTTATACGGTCCTTTGGTTTCTGCCTCAATATCAATTATATAACTATCATTTTAAAGTAATAAAAAGAACTCATAAAATAAAATATCAAAAAAACTTTCCTTCATGCTTTTACCAGGCTTAGGACTTTCGCGGATACGAAGTCCCAGAGGCGTTTACGAAGGAGCCGTTCGTATAGTTTGCCTATCGCCGGGAGGAGACTGATGGGGCGGTAACTCGCGGTTTCGTTCTTCGGTTTGCCCGGCTTGTGTATGCCGATAACGTCCGCTTCTTTCCACGCCGCGGGAAAGATGCAGTTCGTCATAGCAGCATTTAATATGGTGGCCAACATCGTTATCAGTTGGGCTGGTAACAGTTTTAGCGCGCGGTTGCGGATGCCGTCGGAGCCGGGAGCTTTCCGTGGTTGTAGGCTATCGATCGCCTCCTTGACCTCGGAAGTGGTAATGGGGGGTAACGCGTCCGAGGGCGGCAGGGAAGCTCTGCGCTCGACCTCCCTGTCAACGAACTCGGTGTGTTCGGGGTCCGCGTGTTGAGTGCTGGTGGTGCACTGCTCTTGCAGTGCATCGGCCAGCAACTCTGCCTTGTCATCGTCATCGTAAGCCGGTGATTGGCCAGAGGGGCGTACGAGAGGCGGCATAGTGGCTATAGTTTCGGACTTGAGGGTCCTAGCTAGTTGCCAGTATGCTTGGTGAGTGGGCGCGAGTTCTTCTAAATAACTATCCCAGTTTTCGTTTCGGGCGTCGCTTAAGCGGGATTTGACCTCCCGCTGTAAGCGACGCATCCGAGTCCGGTTTGAATCCGTGGGATATCGATCGTAGGCCCGGATTGCCGCGTTTCTAATTCTAACGAGGTCCCTAAGATCGGGGGAAGCTCAAATATCATGAATTGAGAAAATCTACTAGCATCCATCAATATATAGATTCAGAAAATATATAGATTCAATATCCGATATTGATACTCGATATATAGATACGATTCGATACGTGGTAAAACCGATATTACCCACTCCTAGTACTGACTTAATATGGGGCCCAAATGTCATCTTTTTGTTAAGGGTGACGCCTAGGTACTTAGCCTTCGAAGCCCAGGTTATGGGCTGACCAAAGATTTTAATGGCGGGAATGGAGTTTCCGCGCCTAATTCGTAATGAAATAAGTACTAGCAGTACTATACGTCGACTTCTTCATTATTATTTTGAGAAGGTTGTTGCTGTGATTTAATTTCTAAAATTGAAGAATTTATTATATTTGTTGCTCGATAACATGTTGATTATTAATAATTTGATGGTTTTTACCAAAACAGAAAAAAACCAATGTCAATTTACAAAGATGTAAAATCGATTTCATTTTGTGTTTTTGGCTGAAGAAATCGATTCGTCGATTAAGCGATGTCAGATCGCCCTCCATAAGCCTGAGGCTGAGGAGCGGGGAAAAGTTTTGAAGTTTGAAGTTTTTCGTATCTGCGAGTGAACTTGATTATTTTGTTTACGTACGTGCAATAAGCCGACCGCAATAAAATGAAAATTCGGACTAATAATTTTTCATCTTTATATCGTATTTTTGAATGCGATCTAAGAACAATAAAATCGTGTTTCCGGGCTATTACTGTACCCGATAGATTGTACAGTGATGTAAGTAATTATATATTTAAGTCGAATGAATAGTACCAAGACTTGCTCAGAGCAGAAGTATTTAACGCGTGTTGCTTATTTTGTGCATAGGACAGCCGTGTGGAGGCGGCGGCCTCATTAAGCGACCTACATGGTCGTCGACACAACTACCTGCGAATATCTCTCACTGAGCGATGCAACCTGCGATGTAAGTCATACTAGACACATCATCATATTTTCACACGTCTACTACACTTTAGTTTTCAGACTATCTGCATCAATGATCTAAAAATTGTTTGTTCATAAATAAGATCACAAGACACAAATGAAGAAGTCAATAATTAAATTATAATCATCAAAACTAGTTGAACTAGCCCAGTCTGTACTGCTGAATCAACAGAACCGTTTTTATGTACAATATTATCCACAATAAGTGGCTTATTTTGTGTTAATATATATTGCCTCATGCTTTATTACATTAACAACACCACGTGACTGCATGAACTAGTCTCAGAATCGATTTGACCTTACCCAGTTATCATTCTATGAAAAGGCAAAAAATATATTAGATAACACATACGCATGTCTGCTGCAAACATTAACACTAAACATTGTTGATTGTTGATATTATGGAGCTTGCAAGTAAATAGTCAATATAGATATGTATGTATAATTTTATATAAAAAACAGCTTTTCAAAAATGAACATTTATTTTTAATGATTGACAGCAAAGATTGAATCAGTTAATTTAGAAAAAAGGAGTGGCGAGGGTACTAAATGTAATTGCAGTGAAAGGTTATGAGATAACTCTATAATTTAAAATTTTAATGAACAATCCTATTGTGCTAAAAATAGCTTTGATGATGATGTTTCATAGCTCTTTAATAGATACTTCTTGAACATTGAAGTTATTGTGGTCTAAAGGATAAGATACCGGGTGTATATACAAATGTGTATCTAGTTATGCAACTGGGCTGCTGTTTGAATCCTGCAGGCAGGAACCAGTTTTTCTGCTAAAAAAACATACATAAAAAATGTTCATGAAAAGCTAACATGATGAAGGAAAAACATTGTGTACAAAAAATGAAACCTGCAACAATTTTAATTTGCATAATTACTGGTGGTAGGTACCACAACCCTGCCTATTTTTGCCGTCAAGCAGTAATGCGTTTCAGTTTAAAGAGGGGCAGACTTTGTATTGAAAAAACTTAGAACTCAAGCCTCAAGGTGGGTGGCAGCATTTATATTTGTTGATCCCTATGGGCTCTGGTGACCACTTAACACCAAGTGGGCTTGAACTACTTGATTACATACGTAAGCAATAAATAAAATCTACTATACAATATTTTTTTCTTCCACTGAAAAGGGTAATGTTCCAGAGTAATGAGGTTGTTTGGAACTTCTGGGTCTGTAGAGGGGCTTCGGTTCCCTCTGTATTTTGTACCGTATGTTCCATGGGGAGTGCTCTGAGGAATTGTTTGAGATGATACCATCGTCTCGTTTTTACCATCGCACCGCCCGTTACCGGAGTAGAGTTCATCCATACTACCTGGAGCCACTGCATTCATCCATAGTGCCCTTTTTAGAGATCTTTTTTGCCATGTACCATCTGGCTTTTGAATAAGCTCCACTCCATGGTGATTCCCGAACGCTATAACATATCCTTCTTCAAACGAGACTTGTGGAGAGTCATTCTTACTTAACGGTAGGCAGTGGCTTGGCTCTGCCTCTGGCATTGCTGAAGTCCATGGGCGAAGGTAACCATTCAATGCAACGGCTGCCCCACCCTTCAAACCGAAACGCATTACTGCTTCACGGCAGAAATAGGTAGGGCAGTCTTACCCACCCGCGCGGACTCACAAGAGGTCCTACCACCAGTAATTACGTAGATTATAATTTTGCGGGTTTGATTTTTATTACACGATGTTATTCCTTTACCGTGGAAGTCAATCGTGAACATTTGTTGAGTACGTATTTCATTAGAAAAATTGGTACCCGCCTGAGATTCGAACACCGGTGCATCGCTACATACGAATGCACCGGACGTATTATCCGTTAGGCCACGACGACTTAATACCACCCACATATAAACTAAATAATTCATACTTTGAACATTATATATTCAAAGTATATACGTATTACATTTTCATTTTAATATTATAATATCATTACACAAACTCATACTAAGGACGGAACATCAAGGCTATAAATTTCGGATAAACCATTCAAATATAAATCAATTTATTTTTTTCATTAATATCTTATTTCAAAATAAAGAAAGGTCAGATTTATTAACAGTTGCGTTAATCTTGGCGAGTAGACATCAACAGCAAGTTGTATATCTCACATTCCTGTGCTATCAGATTTCTTTATTTGACTGTTCAAGTAAATATAATAGAATAAAATAAAATAAAATAGAACAAACAATCTATATATATAAAAATGAATTGTTGTTCGTTAGGTTCGCTAAAACTCGAGAACGGCTGGACCGATTTAGCTAATTTTGATCTTGAATTATTTGTCGAAGTCCAGAGAAGGTTTAAAAGGTAGATAAATATGAAAATTCTCGGAATTAAATAAAGTTTAGGTATTTTATTTATCGATTGAGGCACTACGAAGTCTGCCAGGTCAGCTAGTACAATATAATATTCTATATCAAAAATTTATAGTTTTGATAGCAAATTGATAGCAACATTAAGAAAATAACAAAAGCACAAGAATAACAAAAGAAATACCAATTTAATCTTAACTAAAACAACCTTGAAACATACAGAACCAACTGAGATTAGTTATACATAAGTATATACTTAATATATATATATATATATAATGTATGAATCAATAACAGAACTACTGTTGTTATTTACTAAATGTTTAAATTACTTTAGCTTATTAATTGTAAGTTCTTGGTTTAGAAAGTATAGTTTGCTAAAATATATTGCACTTCGAATCGCGAAGTATAAAACGTAGTAGACTTCACTTGCCCTGCTACTGAATCATACACTGACTTGGAAACAATAGCTTCTTCAAATTGATGATTCTAATTTAAACACCCTTCACAGTTTTTGGTTTCACAGACCTTTTTCGGAGCCAGAGTATTATTTTTCTCACAGTCGTTTTCAGTCGTAATTCGATACAGACTACCAGTTTTTTAAACTTGAAAATTCACTACACTCACTGTTGAGTATTAATACACATAAATTAGGTGACCTACTAATATATATTTTCTGATTCCTTAAACGTAATATTAAGGACTATCTTGTATAATCAAAACCAAATCAAATAAGTTAAAAAAAATTAGATGGTATTTAGCTCAAAATTCAAATAACGATGAATAACGCAAGATTAAACCGTACAGTCATATGCTCCTGATTGAAGAGTGGGTCAGTCATGTCCCAAGGTTCCAGCAAGTATTAATTTAGCTGTGTTGGAATTTGTGGTGCAGGCAAGTACTGCATGCCGGCGGAAGGCGTGCCCCTGTCCAGTCGCAGCTCGCTGCTGTCAGTGGAGGAGCTGCGGGTGATAGTGGGCGCGCTGGCGGCCGCCGGCGTGGACAAGCTGCGGCTCACCGGCGGGGAGCCGACGCTCAGGAGCGATCTCGCCGATATCATACGTAACGCCTATTCATCTGGTCACTATAATCGCTACACTATAACCATTTGTATCTGTCTAAACAATAATGTACATTCTAATCACAAATATCAAAAAGATGTCGTTCACGCATGAAGTGCTGTGCGGGGACTGGTTACAGGGCCTAGAACATGACCGCCCCGCCCCTTCCCGTGGGTGGATTCACAGAAGTAGGGGCTGCAACGTTTTTTGAGTATTATACCAGCGTACTGCGATCGCCAACTGGCATTTACTGACGATAGGGCGTCTTGTGAGACTCCCACAGACAGCCACCAACATGCGGCTCAGTAGTGGCGTTAGTAGTTTCTTGTTTGAAGAGTGGGAAAGCCATTATAGTATACGATTAAAGCTTCGACCGCGTGCCTCGGGGCGAGAGGCGGTGTTGTGACGTCAATAGTCCACAATAGCTCGTACACTAATAAGAAATATAAAGGTGACTCAATAATAAAATTCTAATGCAGTCCTTCGATGTGTGTGTGTGTTGTGCAGAACACCCGACGTACTGGTACTCCGGTATAGATAATTCTTGCTCACGTGATTTTAAGCGGTTAGCAGAGCTGGTGCATAACAATGTGATTGCTACTTGCCTACTTTAAGAGAATACCCAGCATTAGTGGCTAAGCCTCAACTTACTATTACTTTACCCTTAACAAAAGTACTGAATTATGTAAGTTGATGTTTCGCGTGCGTGTGATGCGGCGGGTGTGTGTGTGTGCGCAGAGTCGCTGAAGGCCATCGACGGCATCCGCTCGGTGTCCATGACGACCAACGGGCTGGTGCTGGCGCGGCGCCTGGCCTCGCTGCAGCGCGCCGGCCTGGACGCCGTCAACGTGTCGCTGGACACGCTGCGCCCGGACCGCTACGAGGACATGGCCAGGAGGCGGGTGCGTGTGCGTGTGTGTGTCGCGCTGTACTGCGCTGTACTGCGCCGTAGTGCGTGTAATGTAGCGTGCTCGTGTCGCGCAGGGCCTGGCGCGCGTGCTGGCCGGCCTGGACCTCGCGCTGCAGCTCGGCTACTCGCCAGTCAAGATCAACACCGTGCTCATGAGAGGTCAGGCTCGCCCCCCGCGCCGCCCCCGCGCTCGCCCCCGCGTGTGAGCGCCGCCTGCTCACGGAGACTTTGCTTGCAGGTTTCAACGATGACGAGATCGGTGACTTCATAGAGATGACCCGCGAGCGCGACCTCGAGGTCAGGTGAGGTCACGACGAAACGTCTTTAAAAATCTTTAAACGAAACATCCAAAATTAAAGTACCCCCTTTTTAGTATTCGTTTCCTGAAAGAGAAGAGGAAACTTAGGCCCAGCGCACAGCTGAAGCTGCCGCAAGACGGCGGCGGGACGGCGCACGCGCGCACCCGCGGGCAGCTCTCAGGATATATTAGGGGTTAAAGTATGAAATTGCCGATTTGTACTGAAAAATTTAAATTCGGTTTTTTTTTCATTTAACATATTTATTTAATCAAAATATCTACCACTAGCGGCCCTCTCCGACTCCGCTCGGGTCCTTAACAAAAATTTCAGCGATATTTGACGTTGTTTTATTTTTTCAAATAAAAGAACACTTAATGCGGCATAACTATAATAGTTAGACATATGCTGTCCCGACACTTTTCGTAAATAATAATGTGTTCTACAAAATCGTAGTACATTATTTTATTTTATAATCAATAGTTTTCGCAGGGCGCTGAATAAGAATATTTTAAGTTTTTTTTTTATACCTTGGGTTACATTATTGGAGTTTTAGTATGGATCCCTAATCTTTTTCAAAAAAGATTAAGATAAGCTATTTTTTTATTATTTTTTTATTGCTTAGATGGCTTAGAGAGCTCATAGCCCACCTGGTGTTAAGTGGTTACTGAAGCTCATAGACATCTACAACGTAAATGCGCCACCCGCCTTGAGATATAAGTTCTAAGGTCTCAGTATAGTTACAACGGCTGCCCCACCCTTCAAACCGAAACGCATTACTGCTTCACGGCAGAAATAGGCAGGGTGGATACCACCGGTTGAGTCCTCAACAGAGTGAAGCGGTACTTCACGCCTGGACAAAGGCTTTTGCTCTATAAAGCACAAGTCCAGCCTCGCGTGGAGTACTGCTCCCATCTCTGGGCCGGGGCTCCCAAATACCAGCTTCTTCCATTTGACTCCCTACAGAAGAGGGCCGTTCGGATTGTCGATAATCCCATTCTCTCGGATCGTTTGGAACCTGTGGGTCTGCGGAGGGACTTCGGTTCCCTCTGTATTTTGTATCGTATGTTCCATGGGGAGTGCTCTGAGGAATTATTCGAGATGATACCGGCATCTCGTTTTTACCACCGCACCGCCCGCCACCGGAGTAGAGTTCATCCATACTACCTGGAGCCACTGCGGTCATCCACAATGCGCTTCCAGAGATCTTTTTTGCCACGTACCATCCGGCTATGGAATGAGCTCCCCTCCACGGTGTTTCCCGAGCGCTATGACATGTCCTTCTTCAAACGAGGCTTATGGAGAGTATTAAGCGGTAGGCAGCGGCTTGGCTCTGCCCCTGGCATTGCTGAAGTCCTTGAGCGACGGTAACCACTCACCATCAGGTGGGCCGTATGCTCGTCTGCCTACAAGGACAATAAAAAAAAAGAGGTCCTACTATCAGTAATAATAATGTAATGTCTTTAATATTATTTATCTACTATAGTGTAGTTTTGGCGAAATCTGTATTATATTATAGAATATATTAATATCTGTATTATTATAGAAGTATAATAGTGTTTGACAATAGAACTATAATAATGTTTAAACTTTTAATTTCAATTAATTATAGTCGAAATTCGGTTATTGCGGGGACCACTAGTTACAATAAAACGGCAATTTCATACGCTAACCCCTATTATATCGGATATTAATCGGAATTTCTTTTTGAAGCCAACTCTTGTACTGAGATTGTAACGTAAGTATGCCTTGTTGTGTGTGTGCGTGCGTGTTTGTTTATGTGTTTCTGCATGTGTGCACGTGTGCGTCTCTCGGAGACATGCGGTAGGACGTAACTTTCACATTTATGAACAAATTCATATATTATGGAGTGCATCAGACAATGTATAACAACCAGCTAATCGCATAAATTGAAGTCGCTGAGGACGGATGAGCGCCGTACACTCGTGTTGGCTGGTCAAGTGGGACACTCACCGTTTTTTTTTTTTTTTTCTCGGGCCTGGGGCCGAACCTCCTACGAGGTCCCCGCGCCTAGGGGGCGCGCGGGGTATGTGAGACTCAACGATCTGCAGGTGTTGAGAGCAGATCGCGGGCCCAAGGATTTTAGGGCCCACCCACTAAACGACTCCCCTGCACTCTTACATCCGACGTCCGATCTCCGTCCGGGGTCAGAACCCGTTCAGAGTAGGGGGCTTCCCGCGGTCAACACTACAACCAGACACGCGGCGCCACCCCGAGGACGCCCGACCGACGGGTCGTCGAGGCGATAGTCGACGACCAACGACGTCAGTCTCCGCGGTACGGCGGCCCTACCAGGCCGCCCGGGCGGTGCCGCTGGTGTTCCGGGATACCCCGCTGGGCCAGAACCAGCCTGCCGGGTCGGAACGCGATACACCGCCGACCGGGTTGCTCTTCAACAGTATGTTCGGCGACGACAGCGACGACGAAAATGCGGACCGCATCGCAGTCCGCAGCCGCCGACGCGCCGTCCCGTCCTCTTGGTGCCAGCGCGCTAGAGTGACGGTAGCGTGCGGCGCAGCCTCAAGTGGGACACTCACCCGCCTTAACAACAATTATAAGTGGCAGTACTAGTACTAACAGTTGGAATATCATCATTTAATTTCTTTAATAATAAATGTAATTAGTTGTATAGATAAACACGAGTTGTGTGTTCAACTGTTGCGAGACATTTCCTTATTTACTGAAAGATATTTACAAATAATTATTTCTAGATGAAGTTTCGGGTGTTTGATCACGTGCTTTTTCTGAAATTCTGATACAAATTAATAAAACAGTTGACACAGTTGAACGTGGAATTGAACGTCAATTAGACACGACCGAATACGGAAACAACTTGCTTCTTTGCGGTGATAGGAAAGTGCTCCGCCCCCCGCGCCCCGCCCGCCCCCGGGGGCGCCCGCCCCGCGCACACAGCGGCGCCGAGAGAGGGCGCGAGTGTCGTAGAGCTCGTGTCAACGTAATTAGTTCATTCGTATCGCTAGTCTTGCCGCCTGCCTCGTATTCTGAACTAAAGAGAACAAAGTAGGCGTAGTGAGCCTGTAAAGTAATGAAATACCAATTATTGGCTAATATTGGCTTAAATACATTCGTAATTACTCAACTGTATATGAAATACACACCCTAAAAATATATTTTATTAACAATTTTCTTGTAGTTCGTAGTTCTTTCTTATTCGTTTATTTATTACAAGGAGGACCAACAGCCCAACTCCACATAATAGAATAAGATAACAAAAAATAAAACCAGAAAGCCAATTAAAGGTCCTCCCCAACATAAACAAGTTAAAGTACATACTAGAAAAAAAAATTTGCAAGCAAGAATCCATATAAGGAAACGAAGAAATAAACCAAACTAATTTAAATGTAAACTTACTTAAAAATGTCACAAATGAATAAATCTCAAGCGTGCTGTACATCAGCACCACGTGGCCCCTTGAGAGGCTATGTCAGCGTAACCCTAACGTGTAAGTGAGTTCTCGGGGCTCTAACCAGGAGGCGTTGCTAACGCAGGATCGAGTATGTAGTTTCCGGCGGCCTCGACAAGAGGGTTTCCGTGTCGTGCCGCCTTCTCAAAGTGGCGCACTGATGCCGACTAAAGATATTTACTGATGGAGTCAAGCTCCACATCATCATGGAGGTCCACGTTCCTCATGAACCACGGTGTTCCGAAAGCTATCCTGCAAAAACGGGTTTGAATGACTTGAAGGGGTTTCCAACAATTGCGGGCCGCGTGAGCGAACACTACAATTGCATAGGTCATAACTGGACATATGCAAGTTTTGTAGAATATCACCTTATTACGAAGGGACAATTTATTTCCCTAGCAAATCATCGGATAGAGGCGTCCTAGTATGAAAGCGACACGATTGCGTAGGGTTTTTCAGTGGAGCCGAAATGTCATCCCTCTGTCAAGGGTGACGCCTAGATATGCAGGTGGGCAGCTTTTCAGTGGGGCCGAAATGTCATCCCTCTGTCAAGGGTGACGCCTAGATATGCAGGTGGGCAGCGGGTTGGCTTTCGGTAGCCACTGGCTTGGCTCTGCCCCTGGCACTGCTGAAGTCCATGGGCGACGGTAACCACTCACCATCAGGTGGGCCGTGTGCTCGTCTGCCCACAAGGCCAATAACAAAAAAAAATTTGACCTTCGAGGCACACGGTATGGGCTGCCAAAGAGAGTAATGGGGCTAACGGCGGAGGTGTTAACGCGCCTATTAACTCACGGGAGTGAGCTGCTCGAAGCGGTATTGGGAGGGCGACCCCTTTTGAAGAGCACCGCTGTGCTTTTCGTGGGGTTGCTGTTAATGGGCCACTTCTGGAACCACTGTTCCTACGAGGTGGTTGCTACGATCTGGAGTCGCCAATGCAATAACGACTTCTTCCTACACGAGTAGTAGATAGCCATGTCTACTTAGTCTGGTCATAAATACTGTTACAATTAAAAATAAAAATAAAAATAAAGAAAATAACATTTATTACTTTTACAGTGTGTTAGTTTAATACATAAATATAAAACAATTTAAAGTATAAAAAGCTTATTCGAAGTGGTCTCCATTGGCTGCATTACAGTCCTTTAAACGTTGAGGCCAGTTATCAATAGAAGCACGCACTCTTTCCATGGGAAAATTTTACTGCCAATTGTACGGATTGTTTTAGGGACTCCAAATTATCATGGCGTTTAGAGCAAGCCGTACTCTCTAAAACTGACCATAAATCATAATCCAGCGGATTAAGATCGGGACTAGACGACGGCCAGTCTTCAGCTCTGATGAAGTTCGAAGCATTCGTTTCCAACCAAGACTGCGTAGACCGAGCTTTATGACCTGGCGCCGAGTCTTGCTGGAAGGACGATTCTTGATTATTGAACATGGTGTTGTTAAGGGGCTTCACTACCTTCTCAAGAATGGTATCTTGATACACTTGTGCCGATGTTTTGATACCTTTTTCACAAAAGTATGGCTCAGTCACTCCTTCATAGCTAATACCCCACCAAACCATCACTGAAGTCGGATAGTGCCCACGTTGCACTCTGTCGACTAATTGGGAAGCTTCCTTAGAGCTTTGAGCATAAATACGGTCATTTTGTTTGTTAAAATGTTGCTCAATTGTAAAAAATTTCTCATCCGTAAACAAAAATTTTCTATGACCTCCCTTTGTGGGATGGATGTAATGTGCTCTGCGTCAACCCTGTCCCGCCGTTTCAATAGCCCCGACTGGGCTCCGGCCCGGTCCGAGGTAGGGCGCCGGTCGTGAGCGGCAGGAGTTTTTAGTGAGGTTCAACTCCCACATACCCCACCTGCCGCGCGGGTGGGGATCCGGCGATTTTCTCCTGTGGAAAAAAATGACCTCCCTTTGCGTACCGCTTCAGTCCTCCGTGCGTCGTATTCCTCAGTTCTGAGGGTCGTGACCTTTACTGAGCACTTTTGTCAGGACTATGTTCTTCCATTCACTTCTGTCCTCCGCGCAGTGGATAGCGACATTGATGCTGGATTCCAAAGTCGTCTTGATCTGATCGGACCAGCGCATGGGACTACGCCCCCTAGGCCTCTTTCCTTCCACTTTGCCGGTGATGAGAAGTCTTTCGAGATTGTCACCCTTTTTTCTCGCAACGTGACCGAAAAACTCTAAAATCCTACGTAGGCAAATGGTGGAGAGTCTTAAGGAGACGCCTAGTTCTTCCAGGATTGATGCGTTTGTCCGATGCGCCGTCCAGGGAATCCGCAGCATTTTCCTCCAGCACCACATCTCAAACGCGTCGATCCGACTTCGATCAGCCTTCTTCAGAGTCCATGTCTCCGCCCCATATAAGAAAATAGAAAACACAAGACTTGTTACAAGTTTACGCTTGGTTTTTATGGAGATGTTTCTATCGGACCAGATGCTATCAAGCTGAGACATGGCAGTTTTTGCTATCCCGATACGTCTTCGAATCTCAGGCTCGCACGATCCAGTATTCGCAATCATGGAGCCCAGGTATAGGCCCGCTTCAGTAGTTGTTTCGATTTTACCACCCTATTCTCTTTTAAATTATCAGTTAAGAAATGACCAGTATGTCTCTTATAGGCTGCAAGTCTTAAGTCATCTAGGTACTATCTTCATCTCCCGAGATAAACTCTTTTGCTTTCGGACAGGATTTCTTCGAATTCTTTCCCTTACTGCTTTGACCACCTTTTTCGTGCGAACACTACGTGGACGGCCAGATCTTTTTCTGTCACAAACAGAGGAGGTCTCATTGCACCTATTAATAGCCCGGTACACAAACATTTTACTAATACCAAGCGTATGGAGCGTTTTAAAAATTGCATTTGGCTCCATACCTACTTTGTGTAATGCAATCACAGCGATTCGGTTCTCTTTATCACCCCACTCCATTTTAATATCGCAAAATATTGTACAATATATTGGCGCCAAAATGAGAAAACTCAATGAGCAATCATATAAAAATTACAGATTCGAAATTCAAATGTAATATTTTGTTTATTTTTAATTGTAACAGTATTTATGGCCAGACTAAGTAGATGCGTCTCGTCTGCATCACATGTTGCAGGTAAAGTGGAAGTAGATAGTTATTTGAGTTATAGGCAATATTTAATTAAAAAAGCGAAGTTGAGCACTTGAGGCGAACTCTCTACAGCTGCTTGTTTGTGTATTTCGTATAGACAACCGGTGTTGTGCAGGGGAGCGCGGCCGCAGCCAATATGAATAGTAATCACTTCCGGTGGTTTATTGTCGCTCAGTCGTAATCTTGCGGAACCTGTCGACGAAGGTTTTGTAAATAAAAAATACGTTCATATATCTAATTACCAATTAGATTATTATGAAACTAAAGAGAACCGAAAAAAATATACACATTTTTACATGTTTATATCTAAATTTTAGTGTAAATGTTTATATAGTAATAAAATAAAAATGTCATAACCAAAAACGGATAAACTGAAATAAACATCAAAAGAAGAAACAGAAAAGTTCCTCCCGGGGCACGCCGCGGCGGGCGCACTGCGGGGAGGGCCCGCGCCGCTCGTACCGCCTGCCCCACGGGATGTGCGATAAGGGACGGTTGTGGTGAATACACAAGGACATATTATGACAATGTATGTGTAATGTAATATCTTTACAGCCTCCGAGAAAACCACACAGAACGTAAATTCATCAAATAATACCTCGGTACTTACAAAACTGACTACTTAAAATCTTAGTTCGGACCGCCGAGACGCGACTCTGCGTCAGGGAAGAGCGCGGCCCGCACCGTGCTCCCACCGCGCGGCCGACACGGCGCCGTGTGCGGACCCTCGAGCCGGAGAGCACCCGCTCTTGGTACAGGGCGGCTCGTCCCGAGGGAGCAGGCGATGGAGTGCCACCATTGTAACACATTTATTTGTGTCTGCAGGTTCATAGAATTCATGCCATTTGCCGGCAACGAGTGGAAGTCGGGCCGCCTCGTGCCGCACCGCGAGGTCCTGCGGGCCGCCCTCGCCGCGCACCCCGGCCTGCGCCCCCTGCCCCCGCGCCCCAACGACACCGCCACGGTACCCCCCACACATATACTGCACTCAATACTAGATGACAGGTTATGTACGTAGTAAAGGTACCATTACTCTGCTCGATTATTTATAAAATTGACAGTGAAGAACTTGCTAGCTCCTTCATAAACTTTAACCAGAAGTAGGATTAGTATATTATGCTCTGCTAAGTAGGTACTATTATTGAAAATCGCGAGAATCCTCTTAATCTGGGCAGCGTAGGGCCGGACATTGCAGCGAACCTGCGACCATCAGAGAATGCCAAAGGCTGATAAACAAACTTATAACAAAAAAATTAATTTTCAAATAATTTAATTTATTTCTTCAAGCTAATCATTTGACTTGAATATCTCACATCGCGTACAACTTGAGTTTTATCGATTGCGAAACAAACGCTGTAATGAGTCTGGTTCGTTGGACAGCTGTGGAAGGTGGGCGGGTACGCGGGCACCGTGGGGTTCATCTCGTCCATGACGCAGCACTTCTGCGCGACCTGCAACCGACTGCGCCTCACCGCCGACGGGAACCTCAAGGTGAGCGGGGCGGGGGCGCGGGGCGGGGACCCCCGGGGGCGCGGGGGCGGCGCGGGGGGCGCGGGTCCCGGTACAAGCGGCCGTGTGTGTGTGCAGGTGTGCCTGTTCGGGGCCGCGGAGGTGTCGCTGCGGGACGCGGTGCGGGGGGGCGCGGGCCCGGCGCGGCTGCTGCAGCTGGTGCGCGCCGCGCTGCACAACAAGAAGGCCGCGCACGCCGGTAACTGGGCAGCTGCTCTCTCCTACCTTGCCGCTCTTGCCTCTTCGCCCTGTCCACCCTCTCTGAACTAGTTCGTGTACTCTGCACAATCAGCACTGCACGAATGTAGCATCACCGGTCCCCCTCGTCCCGAACCCGCTTAGTGCTGCATCAGCTCATTTCCTTTACTAACATTGTTCGTCTTGGAACGAGTTTCGACGCGTTCTTGGTATTTCAGTAGCGCGAGCTCGGTCCGCGCGGCGCGAGGAGGCGGGCGAGCGACGGGGGGCCGGGGGGTGGGGGGCGGCCAACCTCCGCACTCTCGCTGATCCTTCCTCTACTTATAGGAATGCAAAATTTGGCGCACATGGAGAACCGGCCCATGATTCTCATAGGCGGGTAGGTGACTTAACCTCGAGAGACGGGCGCGCGTTCAAAGTACAGGGGGTCGGGGGGAGCGGCCGGCTACAGGCGCGCGCTTACTGCACCGGGGGGTCGCGGGGGTCCGGGGGGTCCGAGCCGCCCGCCCGCCTCTCGCACCTGGACGCGCAGGGCCGCGCCCGCATGGTGGACGTCAGCTCCAAGCCGCCCACGCAGCGCGCCGCCGCCGCCGAGTGCGAGCTGCGCGTCGGCGGCCGCCTGCTGCGCCTGCTCCGGGACGCCGCCATGCCCAAGGGAGACGCGCTCACCGTTGCCGAAGTAATTTATTTCTCGAATTCGATGCAGACCCAAATGGAATTTTTAAAATGAATGATTAAGTCAAACACTCCTTACAGATCGCGGGAGTGCTGGGCGCAAAGCGCACGTCCGATCTGATCCCGCTCTGCCACCCGCTGGCGCTGGAGCTGGTGCGCGTGCGGGTGTCGCTGCCCGGCGGGGAGTGCGCGGCGGGGGGCGCGGTGCGGGTGCGCTGCGAGGTGGGGGCGGAGGGCCGCACGGGGGTGGAGATGGAGGCGCTGGTGGGGGCGGCGGTGGCCGCGCTGGCGCTGTACGACATGTGCAAGGCGGTGGACAAGCACATGTCGGTGTCGGAGCTGCGCGTGGTGCACAAGTCGGGCGGGTCGACCCCGCGCGCCCGCTCGCCCCCGCCGCCCCTGCGCGCCCCCGACACGACCCCGCTCGACCCCAAGGAGACCTACGCGCCCACCGACCTCGCACACTTCTAACTGGTCACCACAAACCTGTGACTAGTGGGTAGTGCCGCGGCGCGGTAACGCTGTGCCCTCGCTCCTCTTCCTCGTGCTTTACTTCGTGGTTATGAATTTAGCTTTTAAGGTAATGGTGCTATTGTATAATATTAACCAAGAACAAAATTAACTACTGGATGTTAATAAAAAACAACGTTAAGTCTTCAAATTTTATTATAATTTAAATACATGTTAATCAAATGCGACATTAGAATCTTCTCACACCGGGCTCCGGCTGCGCCTCTCACGGACAGAACACAATGCTAACGGAATGCAGAATGTTAAATTGCAATTATTTTGGATTATCATAGAACATCATCATATATGACTGGTATATCAACAAACTTGAGGAACAGTCAAAGCTGTTAAATTGTAGGACATTTAGATGTGTTGTGCGCGGGATATTATGCGAATTGCTTGCCCAACTAACTGTATGGCCTTCTATTCATTCTACTTAATTTCGTTCCTAGAAATATGAGTTCGAAATCTCAATTGCTTTTGAAGGTTGCCTTTACCTGAATGTAACTGCTTCTTGGAATAAAATGGATGTTGGTGGCGCCCGCCGTGCGGCTCCACTAGACGCCATAGTTCGCCAGCACAACACTCAGAACTATTTTAAGTGGAAACATTGTAAAAAAACCTAAATCCATCCACTGTGGTTTCTAATACCCCACCTGATACATGGAGGTAAGAAGGCAGGGCCCGACTAAATGTAAAGTTTGGATTACAATAAACATATCAACGAAAGGACTTGCGTGCCAATTGTTTGTTATCCTCTGTGGTATCAACAGTATTGGAGATTAGTCGTCAGACCCTTACAAGTCCAAACTACAAAAATGAATTTTTCAGAAATATATTTTATACAAAATTACTTTACATGAAATAAATATTAGTACACTTTTTTTTGTTTAGTTATTCTTTTCTATATTATAAAATAAAGTTTCTTGTTATTCCTGGCTATTTTTATTTTAAGTAACAATAAATTTTAAGGTTCCAAAATTAAAACCAAATATGAATCTAGCCATGATCATGTTTTATAATCATATTAAAATTCACCTGATGAAACAGAAAAAGTTGTCACTGTTTTATTGTGATATCCCACCTGGTATTAAAATTTTATCAGACCTCTGACAACATTATGAATGTCACCATCCTGCTAAGAGTATAGGAAGTTTTAATTATATTGTATAGTTGTCCATAGAAATAAGGTAATAATCTAACCATGCTCACTTAGAGTATGGTGCAAGTAATAAATTATCCAAACTTATTAACTTTTCAGTTGAGACTTTTTACACAAAGTTATTACCTGATTGCCATAGTTCATCTCTGAACTCGGACATGTGTATAGTATATCATTCAAATTGTTGGCAGTAAGTTGGCTCTACCCCTGGCAATAGTGAGCCGTATGCTCGTCGACAAGGGCAAATAAAAAATTCAGGCATTCAGGCTTGTTAACTGGCCAAACACTTCAAAATAGCAGTAAACCTTAAAGCTATGTACACAGTTAAACAATACTCTCAAGGTTTCAGTGATATTTCTACTTATTACAGTTGCCTACCAATCACATTGACTCTGCATAGGTGAGCTTCAGATGCTGTGACAGCATTGGGAATATACATATAGCACAATGTGGAAAACATTTTACTATTTAAATTATTTTTCTCTCATATATTACTTTAATGTTTAGAGTTTAAACATTCAAAGCAATAAAAGAAATATATCACTGTCACCTTAGACATTGTTAAAGAATGGTGAGGACAACAACAAAAAACTCCATATTGTCTTGACTTCTTAAATGAAGCTATTCTCATAATTGTTGGGACAAAGAGACTGCTTCTCTGCATTTGTATTACATATTCCATGAAAAGTGTTGAAAAGTTGTTCAAGATCTATTTTATTATTAAAGTTTATTATCATACTACTTTCCACTAGACAAGGGTTCATATTCTACTGCCTGAAAAAACTGTTTATTGAGTTTAATTCCACATTATTTGAGCACATTCAGCTGGGGAATTAATTATTCTCTGTGGAGTTTTCGCAGTAGTATTCCTTTCTTTAAATATCTGGTTAAGTGTCTTGGAGTATTGTCACACTAAAATGATTTATTTATCTGGTTGAGGTGGATATTCAGTTAGATTTTCCTTTTCTTGTCATCATATTCATAAAGTACTGCTTCATAATACCATGTTTGCCCCCCTTGCCCCTAAACATCAGCCAGAACTAATTTATCAAGCCACACCGTAATAGTATTGTTAATAATAAAAAGTTTCCCAGTACTACCTCACACTGCTTTAGGCAAATGTAGGACTAGTCTCACTGTCAATACACTGCGACAGCTATATGAAATGAAAGGATCAGTATAGTTAACCGCTAGCAACTAGCACATTAGACTTGGTAGAGGTGGATTGCTCTGGAGGTGGTTCAGGCATGGTGCGATCAGCACGTTGGATGCGAATATCATGTTCCTCAATGTATTTATTGATCTCCTCTCCCTTCTGAGTGAGTTGGTCTTCTAGGGACTGGATGGCCTTAGGTAGCTGTTCATAATTGCTGATCAGCTCTGGCAACACCTCAGCTACGGTGCGTTCGACAAGCACGCCCCCAAACATCCGGAAACACTTACGGGTCAACTCCACTCCCCGCAAAGTCTCAATTACGATCCTGTGGACATAATTTACTATGTATTTTGTATTTTTTTAAGCAGTAGATTGATATGCGATAGATTTATTCCACATTTACTCACTTATGTTCGTTTAACTCCATTTGTAATTCTGATATTTTACTCCCTAATTGACGTTGTTCATTACGAAGAGTTTGGAAACCAGCAAAGATTTCCTCATTCGTTTTTTTTCCTACTTTTGATGTATTTTTAGCCATTTTACTCTAGGTAGGTAGGGGAAATGGAAATCAAAATTTTAGGAAAAAATTTAATATAGTTTTAAAAAAAGAGTAATCAATTTCTCTCTTTGAAAAGTAAAAATAATCACGGTTTACTGAAAGTTTTAAAAATAAAAGAACATGTAAATGTATTTTAAATTAACAAAAACTCAAATTATCTAGTTTTTATCGAATACACGGATTAGGTTATGTACATGTCAGTTTTTTTTTGCGAACGCTGAGGTGAATGAAGTTAGCCCCTCAAAAAAATTTTTCTTTCCTATTTTATACTTATGTTCTATTAATTCGTTTGTTCATCATTTGTTCTTGATTGTTCACTGTTAATAATTGTTTGTTCTGCATTTATTTATTTTAAAAAATATATTAAAAATATATGTACAAGTTAGCCCCGCGATTGCAATTTTTAATATTTTTTCGTCCTTAATGACTCGTAAATATTCATTTTCGATTGTTCTTATATAAAATACGTTTGTTCTCTTTCGAAATTACTCATTTTTTGTTTAATTAACTATTTGTATTAGTTGAATAAATGTATGCAAAATATGTGTACTGCGCATGCGTCAACTATAATGCCTCAACTTTCTACGCGGTTTTAATCGTGAAAAAAAACAATTATAAATCCTGATCATAGATTATACACTTAATATGATCCTGATGGATCAATTAATTGGTATACAGTTTAATTGAGTCGACTATTATCAAAGCCGGCAATGTGACTTTTGGACAATTATTGGTAAATCAGAAAAACGAATTATTGACTTTGTATTCCATTGGCAGTCACAAAACTCTTCTGAACGACATCTTAGATAAATAACAGGTTAAGTATTAACCTTTATTTAATGCAGGTTTGGAACCGTATTCTTTGAAGGAGACGATTATATTCAAATCAATCTGTATTGACATATCAATAAATTTTTTTTGTCCAAATGCACAGATTGCCACCTTTGATAATAGACGACTCAATTAAAAAAATTCAAAAATAAATAAATGAAATAATGTGTATTCGCGTAAAGTTAGACCAAATACATTTTTTCCATCCTCTTACCTATCGTTATAAAGGTATAAAAAAGATAGGTTAAGAGTTCACATAGGTCATATAAACAAATAAATAAATAAGTTCATTATTTATCTTTCAAGAGATAACGTAGGTATATATACATTATATCTTTTTTACACAGTCGAAATTATATTTATAGGTTATGTATTGAAAGTGTTGGAAAATTATTTCATGTTTTAGCTGGAAAACGACATGGAGAATTATATGCAATACAAGATAATGGGCTCCATCAAATGAATTCGAATGAAACCAAACTGTTTACCATCCACATTCGATTGTCGGGCAGATAGAAAACGAAAATTCACTCAAAGTGAACCTCGGCCTGCATTTGTGAAACGGCAAAGACTCACTATTATCAATGAGATTGAAGAGACGACTAAAAATGAGATGTTTCATATTATTATACCTTTGCCATCTTGTAGTCCGGGTAGGTGTAACTGTCAATAATTAGTTACACTCACAGATCTCATAATCAAATAACAATATCAGAAAAAAGAAGAATAGTTAGTTAGTTAGTGGAAGTAGCCAAAATGGGCAAGTGGACCTCAGTTCCTATTACATAAGGCCAGGCCAGTGTCCAGCAAGGGGATATATTATATGGGCTGATGATGATGACTAGGAAGTTAAATACTGCTACTACTACTACTAAAATTGTATGGTATGTAAACAGAAATATATTTTATAATTATAATGATTATTTATTCCATGCAGTATCAGTTAGAGAAGCTTGCACAGCTTCTCTAACCGACACTGCAACTAGAATAAAGTCTAATAAAGAATAAGAATAAACTTTTCTTCAAAGCTCAATTCTGCAAGGGTATTAAATCAGATAGCTATCTATCTGTCGTTCCTGTATGAAATTTTGGTATGTCGAAATCTTGGATAAATCCAGCAAAGCTAAATAAAGTATTTACCCAAAAAATATGTTTATGCTTAAAGTCACGTGTTTATGTTATTCGAAAGTATTAAGCTCCAAGCAGCATTTAGCTCAAACTAAATTCATTAAGAACCAATTTTTCAATCGAAGATTAAAACAACATTAATACTGAGAATGAATATTTATTTATAAAATACACATATATGTTTTGACCACAAATTTTGCATGATAATTTAAATTAATATTCATTAATATTAATTTAAATAAATATGAATTAATCTTCTTCTTCTATAACTCAGTCAACTGTTGATCCTTCTGTTGCTGGTGCATTTGTCTCACCACTGTCAAATTTGTCCTCAGGAACAACAGTTTTCTTTTTGCTGGTTCTGATTGTTTACTTATACTTGCTTCAGATATATTAAGGGGTGATGTGGCAATACATACTTGCCTTGCCTTTGTGTTCCTGTGCTGGAGCTACTTGGATAGCTTTGTCATTGCTACACCTATTTTCAAGTGGCTGGACATCTGGAAATATGAAATAATGTTAGCAATTTCCAACAAACTTATAGTTTGTAAATATATAGGTTTATATGTGTACTGTCGTAGTAGTAGTAGTAGTATTTAACTTCCTAGTCATCATCATCAGCCCATATAATATATCCCCTTGCTGGACACTGGCCTGGCCTTATGTAATAGGAACTGAGGTCCACTTGCCCATTTTGGCTACTTCCACTAACTAACTAACTATTCTTCTTTTTTCTGATATTGTTATTTGATTATGAGGTCTGTGAGTGTAACTAATTATTGACAGTTACACCTACCTGGACTACAAGATGGCAAAGGTATAAAATATGAAACATCTAATTTTTAGTCGTCTCTTCAATCTCATTGATAATAGTGAGTCTTTGCCGTTTCACAAATGCAGGCCGAGGTTCACTTTGAGTGAATTTTCGTTTTCTATCTGCCCGACAATCGAATTTGGATGGTAAACAGTTTGGTTTCATTCGAATTCATTTGATGGAGCCCATTATCTTGTATTGCACATAATTCTCCATGTCGTTTTCCAGTTAAAACATGAAATAATTTTCCAACAATTTCAATACATAACCTATAAAAAAAATATTAAAATGTTATTTTACTAATGTTAGGAATATAATTTCGACTGTGTCAAAAAGTTATGATAATGTATACCTACATTATCTCTTGAAAGATAAATAATGAACATATTTACTTATTTGTTTATATTACCTATGTGAACTCTTAACCTATCTTTTTTATACCTTCATAGCGATAGGTAGGAGGATGGAAAAAATGTGTTTGGTCTAACTTTACGCGAATGCACATTATTTCATTTATTTATTTATTATTTATTTTTAATNAAAAAGTTATGATAATGTATACCTACATTATCTCTTGAAAGATAAATAATGAACATATTTACTTATTTGTTTATATTACCTATGTGAACTCTTAACCTATCTTTTTTATACCTTCATAGCGATAGGTAGGAGGATGGAAAAAATGTGTTTGGTCTAACTTTACGCGAATGCACATTATTTCATTTATTTATTTATTATTTATTTTTAATTAAACTGTATACATACGAACTAGTTGATCCTTCAGGATTTATAATTTTTTTTTCACGATCGTAGATTATACACTTAATATATCGAGATTCACGATTAAAACCTTGTAGAAAGTTTAGGCATTATAGTTGACGCATGCGCAGTACACATAATACAATACAAATAGTTAATTAAACAAAAAATGAGTAATTTCGAAAGAGAACAAACGTATTTTATATAAGAACAATCGAAAATGAATATTAACGAGTTATTAAGGACGAAAAAATATTAAAAATTGCAATTGAGGGGCTAACTTGTAGATATATTTTTAATATTTTTTTAAAAATCAATAAATGTAGAACAAACAATTATTAACAGTGAACAATCAAGAACAAATGATGAACAAACGAATTAATAGAAATGAAGTAGAAAACAGGAAAAAAAATTTTTTTTGAGGGGCTAACTTCATTCACCTCGAACGCTGGCTACTTTATCTTTTAGGCAATTTTTTTTTTTTATTACTTCACAAGAAAATCTTTACCCTCAAATAAATTGTGACCATAGTTTGTGAAACACTTGAGATAAGTTTGAGTCATGACAACCAACTCCTGAAAAGCATCTATTATATTTAAAAAGCATTTTTGGGACGTATTTTGATAATATCGTAATCCTTAGATTAAAAGCATTAAAGTCTTTGTCTATTACTAATAAAATTTAAACTACTAAGTTCTAATAGTACAATAGTTGGGGAAAAAGTTTCTTCGCATTTTTTAAGAAAATTCACATTTTTTAATATTGTTTATTTACATTTAACTAAAGTATGTAGGTACCATTTTGTTCGATAACTTTTTGCCATCTTGTAGGTAGGGACACGATCCCATTGCTATGGGGCTTCCGATCAAAATACCGCGACAATTGGTTTTGGCAGTCCTCTCGTGATGTTAACCTGACAATGCCTAAAAAATTCTGAAGAGATCGAAACAGGTGGAAGTCTGAAGGTGCAAGGTTAGGACTATAGGTAGGAACATTTTATCCGTAATACCCAGCTTAGATAAGAAAAAAAAAATGTATGTGTGACGTGTGTGCAAGTCACACACGGTAGAAGTGAAACCTTTAAAAAATAAAAATTATCGCAAGGGTCAACCACTCCATAGTGCAATGGAGCAGCCTCACCCTGGGGGAAACCGCCTGCATGATCACCGTATCCCTACGCCAAGTAAGTATGATTAGATTATTTTTTTCCTACCTATGCTGATAGCCTTGAGAGGCTATATCAGTGTCGCCTTAACTAGTAGGTGAGCTCACGGGGCTCAAGCCGGATGATGTTGTTAACACAAACCCTAGCAAGAGCCGTGCTTCGCAGAATCTACCACCTGATCGGAAACGCGACCCATTGAGAAGAACCGACGAGAAACTCAGTGGGCTGTGTCTGAGGGTTACTTTATTCGTCGAGCCCTTCGTCGCAAGCGACGGGTTCGACGAGAACGATGACGGGTTCGACGAGAACGATGACCGGTGCTTGAGGTACTTAAAAGCACTGTTAGTGGATCGGGAGGATCCGAAATGACGTGTTTGGGGCGACGTCGACTGCTTTCCATTCTCACCGCAGGATCGGGATTGTAGTTACCGACGGCCACGATGAGAGGGTTCTCGTGTCGTGCCGCTTTATCGAAGTGGCGCATTGACGCCGACTGAAGATACTTACTGATGGACTCTAAGTCCAGGTCGTCGTGGAGCTCCGACGGCTATCCTGCAAAAACGGGATTGAATAACTTGGAATGATTTTAAGCTAGTGCGGGCCGCGTGAGCGAACACTGCGCTTGCATAGGTCATATCAGGGCGTACGCAAGTTTTGTAGAGTGTCACCCTATTTCTAAGGGATAATTTACTTCGCCTGCATATCATCGGATAGAGAGTGTAGAGACATCCTAGTATGAAGGCGGCATGATCACGTACCGTCTTCAAGTGGGGGCGGAATGTCATTTCTCTGTCGAAGGTGACGTCTAAGTATTTGACCTTCGGGGCCGACGGTATGGGTTGGTCGTACATGATGAAGAGGCGAATGGCGGAGGCGGAAGTGTTAACGCGCCTAGTCGGGAGTAGGATGTTCCAAGTGGTTGTGATTGAACAAGAGAAATACGAGAACGTCTATCAACTGTGTAACATCTCATCACCGCGATTCAGGAATTGTTGAGTTTACGTGCAGTGACATCTGTTGATAACAAACTAAATAGAAATAAAAGTATCTCAGGGCGCTCCAAGAGCCACGACAGCATGCACGGACATCAAAAACACACTGAACTAGTCGAGGATGCGAGACCGTGTGGAGTGCTTCGTGATTTGTCGGCGCCGCTCGGAGCCGCTTCGGCAAGCCAATCGCGGCACACTTATTTTTTCGTTTCGTTTCATTTCGTTTCATCGAGTTTGAAAACACAACGATTCTAAAAAAGTTTCACTTCAAAAAATCACGTAATGATCACATATTAACCACAGTGTGTAAATGTGTAATGTGTTGAAATGTGTAATAACAGTGGTTTATTAGCTGTTTAATATTTGTGAAAGTGCACAAATGTGGGAAAATGAAACAAAGCCGCTGGACATAATCTCTTGGGACCCTCCAAAAAGTCCACTGAAAAAATCTCAGCAAATGACCACTATTTTAGTGAGATTACATTTCATCTCATCTCATTTAATTTAATTTCATCCCAGTTGAATAATGTCTCAAATTAATAATCTTCATATTATTTCCCTCAATATTATAATTTAAAAAGTTTGGAGACTGGTCTTACAATTTTAGATTTCTTACATTTGATAGTACCCTTGTGACATTATCTGGATCAGTGTGCTTCTCTTCTATCAAACCGAATAACCATTTTGAAGGAGGGAGACCATCTTCCTTAACAAGAACAACGTCACCTAATTGGGGTTCTGGTGTAGTTTTAGTCCACTTATATCTCTGATTTAGAGTCGTGAGGTACTCGGCAGACTACTTACGCCAGAACTGTTAAGTCATTTTTTTGTATTATTTATTTGCTCAATATCTTTAGAAAATGCCTGAGTCTGACAAACCTTAATTCCTATCTTTAATGCATGATCTAATTCGGAAGCCGTCAAGTAATAAGGATATCGCTTTGACCTTAATTTATTAATAAATCGAATGCAAAACGCGACCACTCTAACCGTTTTTTTGATAAAGATGAATACTTCGTCCATGTCTGGAGATCTGATCTAGCCACTTCGGAAATAGTTAGGTGATGAGACTTCAACGGCTTGGCTTCTAAATCAGTCGATATGTTTACCGTTGGCGATACATACGTGGATTCTCTTAAAAACGCAGGGCCATGGAACCAGAGTTCACAGTGGATAAATTCTTGTGGAGCCAGCCCCCGGGATGCACAATCGGCTGGATTCTGGCATGACTCCACAAGCGACCATTGGTCGTTGTTTAAAAACTGTCAGGATTTCAGTCACTCGATTTGCGACGAAGGTCTTCCATCGATTTGGCTGTCCCTTCAGCCAAACCAGAGCGATGGTGGGTTCAGTCCAAGCGTGTATCTGCGATGCAGGAATAGGTAGAATGCCCGAGACCTCAGACAAGAGCTTTGCAACCAACACTGCTCCGTAAAGCTCCAGGCGAGGAATGGATATTTGCTTGATAAGAGATACCTTAGTACGAGCCGCAATTAGACTTACTCTAACGTTGCCATAATGATCAGTCGCGCGAAGGTAGACTACCGCTGAGTATGCGTCATTGGATGCGTCGGAAAACCCGTGCAGCTCAAGGTAAGTTGTATCCTTGCTCTTATTGACCCACCTGGGCACCGTGACTTGGTTGAGAGCAGGTAAGTTGTCGCGAAA